GTTTGGACCGGAAGTCCAGTTTGGAGAAACGTTTCCGTCTTGAAATACAATCCATAGTCAGTCTGATCAGACGGAGCTGTTGCTGTTGCTGTTGACGCTGACGTTGACGTTGATGTTGACGCTGACGTTGACACTGACGTTGACCCTTGTTCTTCACCGACTACTGGCTCTAGTTTGGCGTTGACTTTTAGTTCACGTACGACCCCTGGAGGTGAGGCGGAGTACTGTTTGCCTCATCTACTGACTTTTCTCTGCTCTTTATTGGCTGGAACAGAAACGGGCCCGCGTCATGTGACCCAGTTTGATTGGATCGTCAGTCAGAGTCACAGCAGCTGCTTCACCCGGGATTTCTGCTCTGGATTTGAATGTGAAATACTCAAATTCGGCGATTTTTACTTAATAAAAAGTCAAAAATCCATCTTTAACACAGATCAGTGGAGAATATTAATATTTATTTTATGTCTTTGTTTCTTTTTTTATCGTGACGGCAGCTGAGCCACTGCCTCCTCATCATGAACATCATGTTCCTGTTCTGATGTGGCTGAATATGAACCCCTGACTCCACCGCGTCAGACCGACAGGGGACACATCAGGGAGGGGCTGCGCCCCCCCACGACTGCGGGACCACGGCTCTGGATGTAGTCATTATGGAAACAAGGCGATTTATTCTGGACTGTGAAGAACACGTGTGGAACAAAAGAGAAATGACAGCGATCAGCTGCCGTGGTTGTAAACACACGCAGCAGCTCGTACGGTTCTAACGTGGAAATGTTGATATCAGCGCCTCTGCTCAGATGAATGACAAATTTCTTCAACTCCATGAATACATGAATAAATAAAGCAGAGCAGACTCCGTGGATCTCTCCTCGCCGCTCACTCCTTTATTTCCTTTTTTCCCTCCTTCCTAATCTTCATTTCTTCGACTTTTCTCCAGCCTTTTGCTTCCATGAATTAATGAGGAACCTAAAAACTCTCTGTATCCATCTCTCGCTCACTTTTTTCATTGGTGTTATTCATGAATTAATAATCAGAAAATGTTAGGACAAAAAAAAAAAAAAAAAAAAACTCCTGCTGCAGTGACGACGTGGGTTATCTTCTTTATTTCATTCACTGGAGCCTCTTCTCTTCTTCAGAGGTATTTTTGTCTCTTTCTGGCATGTTTCCTCTGTAGCACTTTTGTCTCCCCCCCCCACCTCCGCCCCCCCACTCCTCCCATCTCCTCCCATCTCCTCTCCAACCCCATCCATCGTTTCCCACTTTTCCATTTGCAGTTAATTACAACTAATGATGATTACAGCTTGGCCTCAGTCCAGTCACACACACACACACACACACACACACAGACGGTGTGTGTGTGTGTGTGTGAGTCTGTGATTGATGGATGAACGCTACATGAACTGATCTGACTGTGAAACAACACCGACACCCACAGAGACTGCAGGTTTCCTCCGCTACACCGTCACCGTCACTGAATCTGAGTGTGTGTGAGTGTGTGTGTGTGTGTGTGTGTGTGTGTGTCACACCTGGTGGAACTCCCGTGGAGACGGTGGAAGATGTGACCGCTCCCTGACCCGCAGCAGTCAACGCTGCCACCTGCAGGGTGTACACGGTGGTGGAGGTAAGGCCGGTCAGCTGGTGCTGCAGGGTGGAGTTGGAGAGAGAGCGCTCCACACGAGTCGGCTCCAGGTCTGACACCTGCCACCACAAGACGTAACCTGCAGGGGGCGGACAACACGCCGACTTAATACAGATGTTAGCACACACACACACACACACACGAAGGAAGTCAAAGTAAGGGGTGGGGGTGCAGGGGGAGTCAGCCCCCCCCCATCTGTCCCTCTGTATCTCCACAGTCATACATCACACTTCACACACTTTAAATGTGTGTGTGTGTTTAAAGTCGTGGGGCGAGGGAACGCTCCCTGGTCCGTCTCCTTGGTGACCAGGTGTCGGATTAGCAGCTAGATGAGGAGGAAGGAGTAAATGTTCAAGGTGACCTTGACTGAAAAACCCCCAAACACTCCTGAGAGTAATGCTGACGGAGACCAGCAGGGGGAGTCTGTTAATCACTGCAGTTCAACAGTCGCTAGGCTCCGTGATAGGCTCTTTGACCTTTGACCTGATGCTGTTGAAACGTCATGAAGTTGAACAAAAGTTGAACATCTAGTAGTACTGGTACTAGTAGTAGTACTAGTACTAGTACTACTAGTAGTAGTACTAGCTGTCATGATGGTGTACTTACCAGTGATGATGCCGTTCTTGTCCTCAGGCTCCGCCCAGCTGACTCTGAGTGACGTGTCTAAGATCTCAGTGAAACTCAGGTGACGGACTGGACCAGGAGCTGAAGACACAGAGACACACACACACACACACACACACCAGGTTTAAACCTCAACACACACACACGTTGGCTCTCTCTCAGCATGTGAGAACGTGACACGACTGAAGAAAGTCCTGGTTCCAGCCTCTGTTTTCTTCACATCATATTTTTTTCTCTGGTCCTTTTCACTCCAGTGTTTACAGGTGTCAGTACATCTGTTACCCCCTCCCCCAACCCACCCCTCTGACCCCCCCTTTACTCTGCGTCTGTCCGATCACCTCAGCAGTTTTACTGGAAGCTCACTTTCAATATTTTCCCACATTTCCTGCTGTGTTTGACCAAAGCTTGTCCTCCTGATCCAGCTTTTACCAGGAGATTTGGACGACTTGGCTCTCTCTCAGCTGCTGCTGCTGCTGATGCTGATGCTGATGCTGATGCTGCTGATGCTGCTGCTGATGCTGATGCTCTTACTGCTGCTGCTGTTACTGTTACTGCTGCTGTTACTGCTGTTACTGCTGCTGTTACTGCTGCTGTTACTGCTGCTGTTACTGCTGCTGCTGCTGTTACTGCTGCTGTTACTGATGCTGTTACTGCTGCTGTTACTGCTGCTGATGCTGATGCTGCTGTTACTGCTGCTGCTGTTACTGCTGCTGCTGTTACTGTTACTGCTGTTACTGCTGCTGCTGCTGCTGTTACTGTTACTGCTGCTGCTGCTGCTGCTGTTACTGCTGCTGTTACTGATGCTGTTACTGCTGCTGTTACTGCTGCTGCTGTTACTGCTGCTGCAATACTCACCATCCTCGTGGGTCTGCACCAGGGTGGGGGGGCTGCGGGGGCCGTCCCCCGGCGTGGTGAAGCAGAGCGTGGCACCAAAGTACCAGGTGAACTTCTGGAGTCCAGTGACCAGACCCGTGTGCCGAGAGCCCGGGTAGTCTGGGGTGTTGGTGACCAGGATCAGATCCTCGGGAGAATGTTCCGGCCAGACCAGCAGCTACGGAGAACAATGATGGACAAAAACAGTCTGACCTTCAGACCTTTGTTGGGTTCATGAACACAAACACCAAATGAAAATCTCTCCAGGAAAAAAAGAACAAACGTTTGGATCCAAAGTGAAAATGTCATGTATGTAAAATACCCCAGTGGCCATCACGTGTCATTACAGCAGTGACCATAAAACCCAGTCTGAACATGGGTTCAAATGAAAGCCTAATGAAAAATGAACGTGTGTGTGTGTGTGTGTGTGTGGGCGGTGGTTGGTATTCTGGAACCTTCCTGCTACATTTGTTCTATTGCCACACAGTCCACTCAGATATTCATAACGAGACACGGGCCACGGTCGACGGTGACCGGGCCGACACTCACAGAACTGACAGGGAGGGGGCGTTCTGTTTAACATGGTAATTGGTCTGTGTGTTGTTGGTGGGTGTACATTAGCATTAGCATTAACATTAGCATTACTGGAGGTGTACTGTAGTCAGTTATTCATCAGTGTCAGGACCTTTGACCTCTGTGGAGCTCATGAACAGGATGTTCACTCAGCGTCAACAAAGTAAGAAAACAGTCAAACTTCAGGGCAAAAAAACCAAACAAACAACAACAACAAGTGCATTAAACTGAATAAATAATCTGAATGATTCATTATCAGAGACCAAACAGTAGTACTGCTGTGGTACTGTAAATATTCAGCCGTGTATTTTCATGTGTATTTGACGATGCTGGAAAATATATTTTCCTTTTATCCTCTCCTCAGAACCGTCGTCAACTCGCTCACGTGACGCGGCGGCGCTCGTGTACAGACGTCGTCAAACAACATCGTAGTTTTGTCTTTAACACAAACACATGGAACCGATGCCCTGCAAGAACGTGACGTGTTTGTCTTTGTCATGGTAATCGGTTCCTCGGGGGCTGGTTGGCACAGCAGAGTAGAGAACTAGAACATGTAGATCAGCCAACCCCCCCCACCCATCCACCCTCCCAGATCAACAATATCCTACTTAGAGCTTCTCACTTCTAATCTCTTATTTCACTTCAGTCCTTTGTTCCTATTTTTATCAGTTTAATCCACCCCCCCAGTCCCCCCCCCACACTTGGCTGGGTGAAGTGGAAGAGTAAACAGCAGAGAAGCACTGCATCCTGGGACAAGACCTTGGAGCTAAAACACCCCCTCCAAAAAACAAACAGACAAATGTTCTCACGCAGGTATTCATGAACACAGAGAACGTTCCACTCCTCAGGTCCAACGAAGGAATTCAACAAAAAACAGGAAAAACATGAAAAAACACAAGATTAAGATTCTTGTCTAACTATTATTATTATATTATTGAGGGGGGGGGGACTGTGGTTGACACCCAGGACTGTGACTGACTCATGTTTTCACACATTAAATTCAGTTACACAACGATTCAGTGCAGAAACTGTTGTGTTTGTTTTGTCCTGGACCTAAATCGACGGCCGTGGATCAGAACCCGTCCATGTTCCAGTTTGTTACGGGATTAAAATAAATAAATCCTGTTTCACATTCACCACAGCGTTAAATGAACGTCTGAAAAATAAAAGTTTGAGTCAACAGCCAAACAGAGTTCCTTATTAAAAAATGAAATCAAAGTAAAGTAAACACACCAACTGGTTAAGGACTGGTTAAGGACTAGTTAAGGACTGGTTAAGGACTGGTTACTCTTTACTACCATTTAAACCAGGTGACGTGACCACGGTACACGCAGCTGAATGTGAGCAGGTTCTTCTAACAAGGTGAACGTCTCTTCAGCAGCTTACCTTGTAGCCCTGGTTGATCCCGTTGATGAACTGCTGGGGCGGGGGCTTCCAGGTGAACCGTATGGTGGTGGAGTTAATAGCTACAACTTCCACTTCCTGTGGAGGAGCTGTGGGAACTGCACACACAAAAAGAACATACATGCCACACTTAGTCACTCCAGATCTGACTGATGGCGTGGGGGGGGGGGGGGGGGGGGGGGGGGGTTAATACCAAAGAAAACAGAGTTGCAGCCTGAAGGTGCAGAAATAAACAGCTTCCACCGCCGTGTGCTCAGACTGTTAAAGAAATACTTTAATATTTCATGTTGGAAAGGAATTCAGATTTTAATTAGTAAAAAAAAAAAAGTGCCTTGCTCACAGGAGCTAAATGCCAAAGAACTCTCTTTTCTCCTTTGGTGAAATGACCCAGTTTCTCAGTAGAATTTGTCACATCTCTGTTGTTCGTTTCTTCACTGGACGTATTGTTACAGCAGCGGTGACAGAGTGAGATTACAGCACTGACCCGTCACTGACGCCGACGCCACGGAAACTTCTACCACCATTAATTAAATCTTTTACGTCTTTCAGTGTCTCTGAGTTCGAGAGGGCAGAGGGAGGACACTATGAATGAGTTCATTTGCTGTTGTTCAGTCACGTCGCCAAATAAGTCCTGGGACAAAGACGCCGTGTCAGCTCTAATTACCAGCACATCATCATTTATTGATTACAACAGAACCCCCTAATGGACAAACGCAGTCATGACATTTGAACTGAGTGAGTACTTCACTGTTAAATGAGCAGAAACTCAACACTGGACAGAAACAATCTGCATCACTCACTCATCTGACAGATTTATCAGCACGTTCCTTCGACTGTAGAACTCTTTGTTGAAGGAACCGTTTGGACTTTTCATCCAAATCCAAAGGTTCATTCTTGTTCTTTAAACTTATATTTACTGCAGGCTAAGACTGCCTACACTGCTGGTGCGGTAGGCCTACACTGCTGGAAGAAACTCCCGTGGTGAGCCATGTGGCTTCTCTAGACTTCATTGTTTTATTCATGCTAGGCTACGGGTTAGCATCGCAAAAAAATCCCAGAAAACTGAAGACTTGGCTGTGACGCTCAGATGGGAAAGAATTATACTGACGCCGTGCTGCGGAATGATGAAGTGCTATTGCATGATGTGAGTGGCAGAGAGGTGGGGGGGGGGGGGGGGGGGAAGAGAAAAGAGATGAAGAAAACTGGTGGAAAAGGAAACTTAAAGACAGTGAGACGGAGCAGAGGTTGGTCAGTGAAGGCATCGTGGAGATAAACTGAGAGTAAAGACGCTCTTTCTCCTCACTGTAGGTTGATGATCAACCTGGGGGGCAGTTTCTAAACACTAAACTATGTCCTCGGGGGAGTTGGGGGGGGAGTGAGTTCTGTGTCTGTAAGTGTGGTGGGAAAGAGAAATGTTATGTTAACGGTGATTTCCACCACCGTCGTCTCCAGGACTTTGTGTCGGTGAGAGTGAAAACCTCGGCTCCCATTAAAGCACATTAGAATAATTAATGAGCTCCAGTCCATAAACCTGTCCTGAACTCTTGTAATGATGACTGTGAGCTTTACGTGCACACGTGCAGCGGCGTGTGAGCGTGAGCGTGTGCTCTGGTCCGTCTGTAATAACGACAGTTTACTGAGGGAATAAAAGTCAGGAGGAGTGGGGCACGTGTTTAAAGGAGATTTACCCCCGGGGGCTGCCTCCTCACCTCCTCCCTTACGTTCTCGCCTCACCCCGTTTCCTCGGCCTCCACCGCTGCATTGATTTAAACACGGGGAGTTGAAAGTGTCTTCCTGTGTCGTCTTGTTTATTAAAATGAAGTATTTATTACACCATCACGTCTGGTGGAGCCGACTGCAGGGCAGTGATCCCACACCCTCTGGACGGGGGAGATCCAGGGAGGTCGGAGGGAGGTCGGCTTAAAACAACAGTTGTGATTTTACAGAAGGTTCCTTTAGACAGAGGTCAAAGGTCAGTTCAAACTGAGGTGTGGAAAAAACTTGTTTAATAAAAGTCAAAGATGGGTAACTGAGATAGATAGTTGGAGTCAGAGGAGATGCAGAGAACAGGGACAGATGGATTTGCTGTAGCAACTACTGAAAAAAAAATTTCAAAACAAAAAATTCACAAAAAAATTTTTTTTTTTAATTTTTAAGAAAGAAATTTTTCAAAAAATTTTTCAAGAAAAAAATTTTTCAACAAAAATTTTTCAAGAAAAAAATTTTTCAAAAAAATTTTTTCAACAAAAATAATTTTCAAAAAGAAATTTTAAGAAAACTTTTCTGTTAAGGAGTCTGAATAGACAGGTGCTGCTAAAATGTTCCCTCAACAGCCCACTTTTGGGCCACTCCCCATCAGTTGAGAATCACTGATCTCCACCTCGTTGATACATTTGTTCCTGACAGATTCAGACCAGTGAAGCAGCTGAGGATTCACAAAGAGCTCAGCTGGTTGTTGGTGACCTGACTCTCTCTCTCTCTCTCTCCTGTGTGTGTGTGTGTGTGTTCTTGTCCAACTTTACCTCCTTGCAGCGTGTACTCAGTGACGGGGCTGCTGTAGACCCCCAGACCAGCTCCGGTGTAGGCAGCCACCTGGATCTGGTACTGAGTCCAGATGATCAGGTCCTTCAGCAGACAGTAGTTGGTCTCTGGACTGCTGATGTTCTTCTCCTGGTAGTCTCCAGGTAGACCAGCGAGACGGTACCTGGAACCAGGGAAACCACAGCGGTGAGTACCATGGAAATGTAATCACTACTGCTGTTACAGCGCCACCTGCAGGAATAATGAACAAAGTGTTCCTTCAGTCACTCTGTGGTTTCACCATGTGACTGTTTGTCGTGTTACCATGTGACAGCAGGTCGTGTGACCATGTGACAGCTGGTCGTGTTACCATGTGACTGCAGGTCGTGTTACCGTGTGACAGCTGGTCGTGTTACCAACCATGTGACAGTTCCTTCACGGTCACAGTTGGGTCCGTGCTCCGCGGTTTTCTTACTGTAATATTCAGCCGTAAACAACAATGTTCAGTTGCTCACGTTGACGACATGAAGGAAGAAACCCTGGGCTGGGGCATCAGTCAGGGTGTTTGACGTGGCCTTGTATGAGGTGTTGATGTATTAACTGACACCGTCAGAGAGAAAATAAGAAATATTTAGCAACTCATCAAACGCTGGGTCTGATAAAACGCTGAGGGATTCTCTCTGTGGACGAACCGATTTATTATCCAACAGGAGAACGACTTCCTCACAGATTATTCACGTGTTCCTCAGGAACTGATTATTTTATTTTATTCTGCCAACGACCATTTCCAGAAACGGAGGTTTTTGTGGTTGTTGAGGTACAGACAGGTTCTGTTCCGTCGTCCTCTGCCTCGGTCTGGTTTCATCTCAGCTGTGATCACTGGCTTCAAGAAGGTGAACGAATAAATACCAGGTACACAGTAGTACATGTGTACTGATACCAGAGCCAGTGTTTTAGTCTGAGACCAATTCACTGTAAGAGAATTCTGTCTGACTCCCCCCCCCCCCCCCCCCCCCCCCACACACACAGAGAACCCAGCCACTCAGTGTGGAGGCAGTTGGGGTGACAGAGTGTGTCAGTAAGTGGAGCAGAAATAACTGCTTCAGCAGCTCCACCTGTGGAAGTGAAGAAGATACTCTGACTTCAGGAAGGACGCAGTAATGAGGCACTGATCAGCTGATACAGAAGGAAAAACAAAAAAAACTCTGAAGTCAACGGGGTGAA